AAAAGGGAAGATACTTTAACCTCTTCAGCGTGGGTATCGAATACTTAAAGAGGAGTCACTTGGAGTGAGCGGGAAGTACGTATGTTTCTACATCAGTTTGGTACCTTTTCCACTAAGCCCCCCTGAAGCTTGCCCTGGGCATGTTTCTTGACGTGATTGAAGCCTTTTTTTTTTTTTTTTTTTTTTTTTTACTGAATCTGAGTCCTGGACTTACTAGCAGTTCTAATAATCGGCCAGTGTGTTGTGCCTCACAGACCAGAGTGATCTCACATGCGTTTCACCTGCGATGTTAAGCGGCCCTGGCAGGGAGACAGAGGAAGGCTTGTTACCTGGCAGGAAATTGGGGCTCCGAGTGGGGAAGGGCCTGCCCAGATCACACGGAGCTCGGTGCCAGGGCTGGGGGCGGAAGCTGGGCTGCTCACCTCCAGCTGCTTTTTCCTTTGCCCCGAATGGCGAGTGGCGGTCTTCTGAACCAGCCTCCACAGACGTGTCCTCACCTCCCACGAGCTGCCCTCCGGCAGCCCCGCCAAGGCAGCTTTCCCGGCGGTGCGCGCTGTCCACGGGGCGTCGTGGCTCAGAGACCCGTCGTGCCACCAGCCCTGCTTTCCAGACTGAAAGCCCGGCCTCCTCTCCAACCAGCCCCGTAGGGCACATCGGGCCCTCACAGGTTCTAGTGCTTCGATGCTGTGCGTCCACGCACCTCTCTCTGTGCCCCGGCTGCCACTCTGTTTCGGATCCCCATAATTCCTCGGGCAGACTTTTATTGGCACATTATGTAAGTAACTAATTCCCCGTCTGTCTCCCATCTAAAACTCTGAGCTCCGTAAAGTCAGAGGCTGTCATTGTTTCCTGCCTCCCCAAGACCCAGTAATAGGCCCCCTTGTATGTGTGTTCACGTTGTGAACTGTTCTGGGCCTTACACGCCTCACATCCCAGAAATGCTCACTCCTCTGAGGGCCTATGCAGCCTGCGCGGAGACTCTGGGCCACCACGGAACACGGAGCCGCAGCAGAGCGTCGCGGCCCCACATAGAGACACGTGGCCTGCGTGACCTGTTCTGGAGAGTACGTGTGGTTAGGCGTCTCCTCCATCACCAGCCTCGAAGTCCAGTTCCCACCCTCCTGTGGCTTTACCTGACCCCACCACCTGCCCCCTGGGGTGTGTGCTAGGCCGTGACACGGGACGTGGCATCGGTATGCCTAACAGTGGCCCAGGGAAGCTCCGGGGCAGGAGTTGCTCATGTACAATAATACAGTAGCGAGCACTTTACTTGACAAAAGGGTGTCTTTTTATAGGCCCGCAAAGGTGCCGCAGAACCACCAAGGCCCCGCCGGTAACTGCACGGAGTTTGGGCACGGCGGTGGAGGCCGTGTCCTGCAGCGACCCCTGAGCCCTCGACGCCAGCTCTGGGCTGGGGGCCGCGTGGGGCAGCAGGTCCGCAGCCGCTCCAGACCGGGAAGGACGCGGGTCCTTTGGTGGCACGACAGACAGACGGCGGCGGCCGCGGGTGGAGACGCAGCGGGGAGGGCACTGGGCACCCCGGCTGCCACCGTGTGTGCGGGTAACCGCACGGTGTGGCCCCGAGTAAGCCGGGCCCCAGAGGACAGACCGTGTCGTGCCGTGGGCATGGACTTCAGGCCGATCCTGGCGGTGGAGGCGGGGACGGTGGGCCCCCCCCCCAACAAGCGTGGTCCCTGGGGGGCTGGGGCTTCTGGAGTCGTAACCACCCCGCTCCGTGATCTAGAGGCGGTTTCTCAGGGCGCGTTCTCTGCGGACATTCATTGATCCCTGTGATTTGTTCGCCTTGAGAAGCGTGTTAGACTTTACCCCCGCCCCCAGAGCCTCATCTCTTCCCCAGTTCGCAGCAGCTTTCCATTTGTATTTTTTTCAGTTTATTATTTTGAGAGAGAGAGAGAGAGTGGGGGGAGGCGGGGGGTGGGGTGGGAGAGAGGATCTCAAGCAGGCCCTACAGTGTCAGCACAGAGCCTGACAGGGGGCTCAGTCCCACAAACCACGAGGTCATGACCTGGAATCAAGAGCTGGATGCTTAGCCGACTGCGCCCCGGAGCCCCAGCTCTCCATTTCCAGAGTTCATTCCGGAGAGAGCTGTAAGGGCCGCCTCCGCCCGGCCGCCTCCGCTCCCGCCGCTGCTGCGGGCGGCACCCGCGTCCTCAGCGCCCTGGGCCCGCCCTTCCCCGCGCCGGGTGCTGCCGCGCTCACTAGACAGGTGAATGCCGCACCTGCTGGTGGCTGCTTTGGGCCCGACGCCTGGCCCAGGCGCGGCCTGCCCCCCCCCCCCCCCCAGGAGCGCAGACAAAGACCGAGTCGTGAAGCGCCTTCACGTGCGGCCCGGCGCACCCCCAGGCCTCCCGCCTCCTCCCGGAAGAAGCCTTCACCACAGAGACGGGGTGAGGGGTGGGGCCTGCAGACTTCCGGTCCGCTCCTTTGCAGGTGCTGTTCCCTCCGGCCGGAGTTCCCCGGCCCTCACGTCCAGTTTTCTCTACCTCCGAGCTTCCCCTGGCTTTCTCCTTTGTTCGCCCGGTTCTTAGATGCCCTCTGTTTTCCCCTTTGGGGCGTCTCTTGTCTGAAGCTGTTGGGCCGCCTCGCCCTCGCCTTGCCGAAGGCGGAGTTTTGTTCTCGTTTGTCCTAACGGTGCCTGACACTTAGCACGCTTTCGACGAGTGTTTGCCAGGCGGTCAGCGGGTGGATGGGGCATAGACGAGTAGATGGTAGAGGAAGGTTGAATACATTTTGAGTGCGAAGAAACCCTCCCTGATTATTTACTGTGAGAAGCTAGTATGTTTTATGTCCTCTGTATTTTCCTTTTCAAAGAAAGGGCAAAAAGACCCTAAAGATTGGAAACAAAGGGCTTTGTGTGGATTCCCACAGGAAAAGGGCCACGGCTCCTGCCTGTTTGCAGACACGCCGCGTCACTGGGCTCCTCCGTACGTGCTTGGCAGCTCCCTGAGTATCTCTCTGTTTTTGCTGGAACGGGAACTCACGGTTTCAGAAGGTTAGGTATTTCAAAACAGATGCTCAGACCACGAAGTCACTGAAAAGATGTGGTTGCAATATGCCCCATTTTACACCAATTAAGCAGAGCTCTGGGGTTCTGGCCCCCGGCCAGCTCGCTGCTCCAGGCCCAGGGGCATCTCGACAGTTCTTGGGACTAATTGTTCACTGTCTGCATAGTCTTAAAACAGTCATTTCAGGGACTTGACTGCGTTACATGTTGTGTATTGAAATATGAATTTCATGTTGGAAAATGTATTTAGTCTGGTTTCTTTCTAAACAGACTCTTCCCTCAGTTTCATTGAGAAAGTGATAGAACCGTTTAAGACCTTCCATTTTCCCAGCTGTAAGAAGAGAATAGTCATTTTAATGTCATTTCTTCAGGTTTACGGTCGTGTGTGGCTGTGAATAGATCTACATAAGGAAATTCACATGGACCGCGTGGGGCCGGCGCAGAGCAGATGCGGGATAAATATTAGCTCTGAGCTGCCTTCTGCGGGAAGGCGTCTGGGAGGCAGATTTCTACTCCACAGTTCTACAGTTCCTCGCTGAACAAAACCTTCAGATCCCTCTGCCCCTTCCCCTTTAAAGGGTGCTCTTTTCTGAGCGTGTTTCTCTGCCGTTTAAAATGCAAAATGCCTTTACCGTTGGCTCATCCGGTCCTACGGGAAAAGGAGCGGAACGAGTGAGGGCAGAAAGGAAGGAAAAGGGAGAGGGCCCAGCGGCTGGGCAGGCCCTCGCTCTTGCCACCGTGGGCACCTGTGCTCGGGTCATAATGACGTAAGCCGTACCACCACGAGCAGTCCACGGCACCGCCTACCGAAGGCTTAGCCTGTCACGAGTGCCACGGAGCCAGACACATACACGCTGTCCCCTAGCGCTGTCCCCCGCCCTCTTACCCAGCTGCGCGCTCTGTTTCATACGCGGGGTGGGGAGGAGAGAGTGAAAAGACTTGTCCGGGGTCCCCCAGCCGGCAGGTGACGCAGGTGACGTGCAGTAGATCCCGCTTCCAGTAGAGCTGGCTGCTAAGGGTGGGACCCGGGTTCGCTGTCTTGTTCTCTGAATGCGACAAGAAGGTTCAGTGAATTAGGCCTGGGGTAAGTGCACTTCACCCCGGAAAATGGCTTTGTGATACCTAGTTCCACACGTAGAGGCCGTTTCCATGTTGAAGCGTACAGGGCAATCTGTACGGTGACCTTCGTGACTCGGCCACCTGCTAGTACGGTCCTAGTGCATCACCCACATCCCCTTCCCTGGAAGTAGCAGTTTCTCCAAGAAAGATATTTTCATTTTGGCATTTAGGCCAAAATGCTGATGAGAAGTTGACCACTTTATAAAAAAAAAAGAAAAAAAAACCCAGGGAGTTGTTACCTTCAAAGTCTCGTAAGTCATTGTGTTAGAATTTCTTTCGTTTGCAATATATGGCACTTCGAACGTGACAAGCTTGTGGTGTCTTCCAGGAAGTCTGGGAGGGCTAGAAGGCATGGAAGGCACAGTTCAGGTGGGGGGACAGTCAGTAAAACCACAGAGATAAGCGACCAAGGGGTGGGCTACGTACGAAGTGAGTGGGTATTAGAAACAAGCCTGAAATCTAAGACCTCGCGTGGAAGGTTTAACCCTAAATACTAAAGCTGTGAATTTCAAAGTGAAATTATACTTTCACTTATTATATTATATTATATTGAAGTGTTTTAAATGAACTATGCGTGGTTAAGACCGTTCTTACTCTGAGGTGAATATTTCTAATGAGCTTCAGGAGATTTACTTTATTACAGATTACACGTTACAGGAAACATCTTGGGACAGCCCTAGATGTCATGTGCGCCGACGAGAGCTCAGAGGTATTTTTATCATTTCTGAGCTGTGATGTGTTCTTTCTTAATCCTTCCAAGTGGAATATTTTCAAGAGAATTGTCCATTTCTGAAAAGTATCGTTAGCGGTACGTGAAAACCATAAATGAATGTGTTCTCTCCCTTTTCTTTTTCAGATGGTGACGTTGATCTTCAAAATGAAGCCTCTGGAAAATTTTAGGTTCTCCACGGGAACTACAGAAATTGAAGGAAAGAAGACTTTCAAAAGGAAATTGTTTTGAAAGTATGTTTACAACTAACTGATACTGTTGACAGTTTTTATTCTTTATTCTTTTTTTTTTAATAATAAAACACTTTAAGAAGATTGTATTTATGGTAAAAGGAAACTGGACTAACAATGAGGCCAAAGACTTTTCCTGCCACGACTTATTCTGGAAATAGCCGCCAGCGACTGCAAGAGATCCGAGAGGGCTTGAAGCAGCCAGCCAAGCCTTCCGCTCAGGGGCTGCCCGTGGGACCAAACAAGGACACTTCCTTGGCCGCCAAAGTGCCAGGGGGCAAGGACGCGGCCCGGCAGCAGCAGCAGCTGAGAGCCACCCCGAAGTTTGGACCTTACCAGAAAGCTCTGCGAGAAATCAGATACTCCCTATTGCCGTTTGCTAATGAGTCGGGCACCTCCGCGGCCGCAGAAGTCAACCGGCAGATGCTGCAGGAACTGGTGAACGCAGGCTGCGACCAGGTGGGTGCGACATCCCCCCCCCCCCCCCCGGGCAGGGCAGTGACGGTGCGTAAGCCATCCGAGCACACTTGCCACAGCCAGGGATCCTGTGGTTGCCACTTGAGGCTCCGAGTTAGTTACCAAGAAAAGTGTTTCTGGTCAGAATCCAGGGCCCTCACAGCGCGCCGCTGTATTCTGTTCCACCTTCTCTCCAGAAGGGTCTCTTGACCGCGTTTCCTTGTCAGGCTTCTGAACTCTGCTGAAATTGTACCGTGTGTGTTCCCTGCTCTGTCCTTTAAAGCTGCGAAGGGCTTTCATACTTTCTTCGGGGTTTATTTGGGCCTATTCTGAACTGTCCTGGGGAAGATACTGGCTTCCCTTCACTTGTTTTTGGTTTGTGCATGTTTTACTCTGTTAAGGGGAAGGTTGATTAACACAAACTGGCTCTTCTTAGACTCTGCTTTCTCCCACGTTTTTATCATATATAGACTGTTAGAGGAGGCGTCGCCATGTTGAGGAAGTCATCAAACTGGTGGCAACGCGGTCTGACTTCTCGGTCGCTTCAGAATGAGGGACACCGTAATGGAGGTGCTACCGATCACATATAAACATATAAACATACAACTTAACAGCTGTACATTTATGGTCCTGTAGCGATGGATAGGGCTAAACCCCAGGTTGAGGGGCAGGACCACACAGGATGGAAGTAGTGTCCGACCAGGTAAAAATGTAATCGCCTTCTGAAGGGACGTCTGAAAGCTAATGCTTTGTTACCATCTGTCATCTTAAAAGTCACAGTCGCATGAAAATGGAAATAAGCTAGGTATTTTTGCGGCCTTGGAAAATTGGTAAGATTTCATGCTCAAAGCATATCAGGATGGCTTGAGCACTTGTATTTCTTAGAAATAACCTAATTACCTACTCCTGACCTCACGGTCGCAGGAAAAGGCCAACAATGCCCTCTTTTATTTCCAAAAGCAATCTCAACCTTCTTGTTGTAGGTGATTACCATCGAATTTAACTAGAGAATTTACATTTCTCAGATGATATGTTTGTGAAACTAATCGTGCTATTTTGCAGGGCCCTTCCTTGACACTTTGGGATATACTGGGATTAACTTGTGTAAAGCAAGCATTGTTGAGTTGAGAGTTGCTTTTATAAAGCACAGGATCATGAATAATGTGGTGCAGAGTGTTTTAGCGGTGGAAGCTGACAGCAAAGGCATGACCTTTCTCATTGTGAAAATATGAAGTTAAACACGCTGCCAAGTGCTATCCCCTGACAAACAGAACTTGATGGTTTTGAAAGTAGGAAGGAGCAGTCCTGGGGAAATACTAGTAGGATTGCAGAGACTTCGGAAACCCAACAGCAAAGCCTAAAATCTTCTATAAATCACTTGCAAACAAAGGAGGTAATCAGAGCAGGGTGTTCTCCGCAGTTGTGTTTTAGCTGTGATAAAAAGAAACAAGTGAAGCAAATAATCCAAAATACAGGTGGGATCTCATTATGGCAAAATCCATTAGTGATAATTACAGTGCAAGAAATAATGGAGCTGGTGCTGTATCCAAGACAGTAAAATACAAATACGGTAAAGTTAAGGATCGTGACACCAATGAAGTTCCCATCAACATTTAATTTATGTTAATTGCTAGCAGAAAAGATTCCATTTGCCACATTTAATGCTCCTGAAATAATTCAGTCACTTTAGTGTATAGTGTTGCTTTATAAAGCAAAACAGTTCTGCCTTCACCCTTACCCTTCACTCTGGACTGATTTTGGTCTGTGTACAGGGTGCATTTTGCTTTTAGAGGATTCTGGTCAGAAAGTCATTACGGGAACTGAACAGTGTGAACAGAAAGGATCAACAGGACCTCTAGAGTTCTGTGTCTTCCATGGAGCAGATTATTAGATCCAGTGTAATACGTACGGAGAGTTCCTAGTGTTGCAGCTTCTTCTTTCTCTTTTGTCTCCTACGATATTGTCTTTTAATTTAGGTTCAGTTTTGTTCTCTTGTATTTTAAGTGTCATTTTTAGCCCTAATATTAATCAGAATGGCAGTAAATTCCATGTTTTCCCGACGTCTGACACAGTTTTATATGCACCATTTTATCCATTGCGTATGCACGTGCACACATTTTTTCCCATTTTATTTGACCTGAGGCTTATTGGAAATATTTACCTGAATGTTTATAAGGGAGTGTTTTCTTTTAGGCTTTTTATTAAAACAAAATTTACATAAGAAAAGTACATGATTCCTAAGTGGGGAATTCACAGTGGGGTGAATTTTACCCAGTGAATTACACCCACGTAACCAGCATGTATTGGGTATATATTTTGAAAAATTGTTTTTTAAATCTAAGTTCTGTCTGCACCCAAAGTGGGGCTCAAACTCATGATCCCAAGATCAAGAGTCGCATGCCAGCCAGGCACTCCGGGGCATGTTTTTAATTAAAATATCTTCAAATGAAAATTCTAGAAAAAGACTAAGTATTTTCTGTGAAATGATATAGTGTATATGTCAAATGATAGTATCTAAAATATTTCATACACACATTACTAAAGTCTTATGAAATTTTCTATACAAAAAAGCCCAATAGATTAATATTCCTTATGCAAGGAGCTGTTCTTTTTTTCTTCTTCTTTTTTTTTTTTAGAGAGCACAAACAGGGGAGGGGGGGACGAGCAGGGGGAGAGAGGGGGAGGAGAAGGAGGGAATCTCAAGCTGGCTCCACGGTCAGCGCAGAGTCTGTTGACAAGGAACTTGATCCCAGGGCCCTGGGATTATATACCTGAGCTGAAATTAAGAGTCGGACGCTCAGCCGACTGAGCCACACCTTTAAATACAGATTTAAAGGGTGCCGGGGTGGCTCAGTCGGTTAAGCGTCGGCCTCCTGTGTAGCTCAGGTCATGATCCCAGGGTCTTGGGATTGAGAGCCCCTCTCCCTCTCCCTCTGCCCCTCCCCTGCTTGCACACATGTGCTCTCCTTCCCTCTCTCTCTAAAACAAGCAAATAAATTTAGATTTAAGGAATTGGAAAGATAAGTTTTTTGGTTATGAGCGTCACATTTTGTATCATTGGATACTCTTCATATCGGCAGAGGTAATAATTTAAATTTAGCATTTACTTTATCTTATAAAATTTAGGTTCGGTTTTTATTTTACTCTTAATGGTTTCAAGTGATGATATTATCAGGTTTCCCCCCTTTTTCTCCCTGACAGATTTTAGTTTTTTCTTTATTTACTTTTTAATGTTTATTTTTTTGGGGGGAGGGAGGGGCAGAGAGAAAGGGAAAGAGAGGATCCCAAGTAGGCTCTGCGCTGTCAGTTCAGAGGCTGACACAGGGCTTGATCCCACGACCGTGGGATCATGACCTGAGCCAAAATCAAGAGTCGGACACTTAACTGTCTGAGCCATCCAGGCATCCCTCCTGATGCCTTTTTAAATTTAAAATTTTTAAAAACCACTAATTTAATTTGCAGTGACAGTAATATGTGTAACATGTCTGCTTCTGAGAAGCAGACGGTGTGTGTCCTCTCACTGAATTGCGGTGGGTTAACAGGTGCAAGGGTCGGTCGGGGCCAGCTCCACACACCCAAGGCTTCTCAGGGCCCATGGGACAGAAGGAAGGCAGGGCCTTATGTTGGCAAGGTTCCCATTCAGTAGCAGCCCCCACGAAGTACCAGCTCATGTCCGCTAGAGGAAGACTTAGATGAGAACTTGCTTTCAGAGCGAGTACCAGGAAACACTTTTTGCTTCTCTGGGCATTTAGCGTGCACTCTTTCTCTGGCGGCCACCCCACGTCCGGACCTTCAGGAACCCTTGTGGATCCACTGTGAGGCCTGCCAAGTCCGTGGCAGCTTTGAAGACTCTTTTAGGGCTCTGACCTGTCAGATCTACATTCCTCTACTCCTGAATTTCTATGTTAGCATAAATTTCCTAATCCTGACTTAATCCAGTTTTTCCTCACTTGATTGTGAATGTTTCAGCGACTTAAAGCTTTATTGGAATGAAGGTAGGAAGAAACATAGACAAAGGAATTGACTTATTATACCAAATTTGGCCTAAGAAAAAAGCCCATGGTCAGGATGTATATTCGAGGGAAGTTTCCAGAGAATAATGATCACAGCACCAAATAAATCTGAGGTGATCTGGTTAATAGGAAAAGGGGGAGTGAATTTCTTTGTGTTCTCAAAGCTAAAAAGTGTAGAAAAATCATGTTTCTCAACCCGTCGTAGAAGTTCTTCCTGGACCCACGGCCTTTTACCAAAGGAGAAGCACTGCAGAGGGGTGAGACCTGGGGGGCGGGGGAGGGGGTGTCACAGAGGAAGGACAGACACTGGCGTTGGCCCCTCCCTCCTGTGACGAGTACCGCGCCGAGCACTTGCACAGCAGGTGGATGCCCAGGAGCCTGGCTTGGAGGGCCGGGCAGGTGACTGGCGCTCTCCTCCGCCCCAGCCCCAGCCCCCCAGCTCCTACTGACCTTGTGTCTGCGGAGAGGGTTGTTAGACCTGCTCATTCCACTCCCTGGAGAGGAGGGACTTGAGTGTCCCCTCAGCGTGGTCATGCAGCGCTGTCTTTAACTTGCCGTGTGTGTGTGTGGCTGGCCGTTTTCTGTGTTTGCTGAGGGCGCCCCGTCCCGGTGGGAGTCTCTGCCCTGTGACCTGGTCCTCTCCGTGTCCTTCTGTCCAGCGAGGCAGCCGCTCCTCTTGCTCCTCGGGCGGGGCCCTCGCTCAGCCCTTCCAGCCCCCAGGACCCCTGCCCGCCGCCACGGGCCCACCCATCCTCCGCGGGGACGCCCCGCTCCCCGGCCTGGCCTCCTCCGCTCGCACCTTCTGCGTCGCTGCTTCTGGGGGCTTCTCCCACGGATCTGCTGGCCGGCGCCACCGGACCCCGTCTGCCGCGGCCTGGGTTCGGGCGCCTGGTCAGGTTCAGCCCGGAGTCCCGCCGCAGGGGCGTGGCTCTCCCGCTGCGTGTGAACTTCCCGTGCCGCCCTCCGTAGTTACGCGTCGCTGAGGCACCG